AAATAGTTGACAAGTAACGCATACCACAAAATGTTTTTAAAGAAAATCCTTTATAAACTCAAAACTGATTATTAATAAACAATAAAAGAAAAATAATTTAGGGATTTTGTGAACTAGTAATATTTTCCGAGGCTTTGGAGAAAATCTATCTTCCCGTTTTTGAGAAATTGCATTCCAAACTACAATCGCGATTTCCCAAAACCGGCCGAAACTAATACACGACAATCTGTTACTATCACCAAAATTAATTGCTTGTCTAATTTTTTATATCAAAATTAACCGTAATACCCTAGTGTAAAACTAGTACATTTGACTACAGTTTTTTCGAAACGAACCAAACATACAAACTTACAAATGTGTTCAAAAGTGTATGTGTAAATGCTGCATAAATTTCGGTTTACTTGGCTTTGTTTGCCGTATTGGATTATCACCGTTGACAGTTTTGGAGTAATTATTGCATTTGCAGAATATCCCATGCGAAAAACACGTAAATCTACAAACGATAATTCGAAACACACACAAATGAAAGGAAAATTGAGATTGGCTTTGAGAGAATGTTGCTGTATTTTAATTTTTACTAAAACCTTAGGTACTACGATTAATGACCTATTAGCGATGTACGTGTGTTCATAATTAATAAATTAATTTGTTTACTATTGAAAATGTTTTCAAATTAAAATTTTGATATTTTTTTTATAAAAGTATTGATCATGTTTTAACCAAAATCATATAAATCGAAGTTTAAAGCTTTATACAAAATTTAGAAAAATTCAACAAATTTTCATTCAAATTTCGAGCTTTTCAATATGAATCTTAATAGCCCATATAAGTTTTTTTGGGATGTGTTGAGGAACGAATTTCCGTGTATCACCCCAATATTTGATCCTTATTTTTCCGATCAAAAATAATTATCATTATATGATTTTTATTTTTTCGTTTAAAGATAATAATTAATATTGAGATTTATTTTTTCACTTAAGAATAATGATTATTCAAAAAAAGACAAAAGCTATACTAGCATGATTACCGACTCATACTTTTCGGAGGTAGCGAATAAGTTCAAAAATTTTCGTTTCAAAATTCGAGTTGGTTGCGTATGTACAGGCCGTTTAAATTTTAAAAATAATCATTATCATTATTCTTAATTTTTAGCAAAGTGTTTAGCTTTGTCCGTTTTTCCTAAAAAAAAAAACTTTGTCAGCTTTTTCCATTTTTCCTAAAAAAAAATAGAATATTAGAAGATTAAATTTTATAAGCTGTCAACTTATATATGTACATTAGACTGTCCCAAAAAACCAAAGTTGTTTTTGTTTAACGTATACCGACTAAGAATGTTAATCCCGGGATCCCGGACTTTTTAAGGTCTCGAAGATCTCGGGATTCTTGGCAAGAAATCCCGGGATTTTCGGGATTTGTAGTTTACACTGATGGCAGTATTGGCTATATTTCTTTTTTCTTATTTAATAATTAATATTCCTTTATAAATGTCTAGCTCATTATACATATAACACCGCGCGATAGTAAATTTTAAACACAAATATCAATATATTCGCGAAACTATGGGGCAAATATAGTAACATTACGTTTTTAGTTTTTCACTCTGACGTCAGTAATTTAAAAATGAAATAAAAAATTCAGAAAAATGTGCTTAGAAAAGAAGTATGGGTATAAAATTAATGAGGAAATTCAGTAGAATTTAAACATATTCAAGTTTCTAGTGTAGAAAGGCTGGTAAATATTGAAAATGTCATTTTAAAATTTTATCCTTGAAATTTCGCAATATTTGTTTTGGAAAAATTATATGTTTAGGGCTTATATAAACTCGATAACGTCCTCGAGTTTGCTTCTTCTAACTTTGTCAGCTTAAAAATTACCTATGCGTCCTTGTGAATCCAAAAAATTTAAATTTTTTAAATTCTAAAGAAATTTCCTATTGCATTTGCTACCCATATTTTTATTCTACATTGCACTGAGCTTTTTTAACAATTTTTGGAATCAATCATATCTTTGAAATTACAAAGTCAGAGAGGAAAAATAAAAACGCCACTTTAAATAAAAAAGTAGGTTTCAAACCCATTTATTATTATTTATTTCATGGTAGGAGAGCAGGGGGGTGAAATAACACAAACGGTAATAACGCAAATTTGTGTTATTTCCCAGTTGAATGTGAAATAGCACAAATTTGCTTTATTTCATTTCTCGTTGAACAATAAGACCAACTTTCACTGCGTTCGACGTCGCCCTCGCGTCCGATAGCCGAATGTCAGGAAATAAAGCGAGAAAGCTGTTTTAATAATTCATCTGTTTATTGCGCCATTCATCCCACGTGCTTGTACCGAGCATACGTTCAAATTTAGAAGTCTGAGAGTAGGTAAAATTTTACATATTTTTACATCACTATTTCGTACCGCATGTTCGCTTCGTCTTCGTAAACGAAATCCACATTTCGGATATGGTGAAACAAGTGATGATAATGCAGAGATTTTAACTGAAGATAAAACTCAAAACAATATTATCTGTGTTATATGCTGCGAACAGGAACGGCAACTTTAGTTTCTTCCATGCCATGGCGGAATTATACCAGGTGAAGTAATTAGAGCGAGAAGAAAGATCTTGACACTGTCTTATTTGAAGAACTGCCTTTAAAATTTGACTATAAGGCGACCGGATGACAGAAAATAAAGCGAGAAAGCTGTTTATAACTTCATCTGTTTATTGCGCCATGGTTCCATGCAAACATTTTAAGGTTTTCCAGCAATGTTTTCAACACATTTAAAAAAGCATGCAGATAAAATTCATGAAAAGGGGCTATGTCCAATCTGCTGAGCAGTTATTAAATACGACTCTTTTCCTACACAACAAAGTTTTTTGCTTCTGGTCAGTAAACTGTTTTTGTTACAAATAGCACAAATAAGCAATGGGAAATAAGGCAAAATTTGTTTTATTTCCAACCTTTGTTGGACTAATCCCGGGATCAAGGGATTCTGACAACGCCATCCCGAAAATCCCGGGATCGGAGAAAGCAGAAAAATTAACATCCCTAATACTCATTTTATTGGTTTTGTCCTAAAAACTATCCAAATAAAATGTTATGCAATTCGGACCACGGCAACCCGTGCCGACTTGCAGTCAAAGTTATCAGAATATTCTTTGTTTTACTTCTATATAAGGCGGTATTACTATACCCCATACAGTATTAGGGCATAATATTTAGTAAATCTGCGTTTTTAGGTTTTTACCAGGTAGTCAGGATTTTTTCCAAAGGACCATAAATTATAATATATTTCCAAAAATTTACATAAAACATGGATATATGGGTATCAATTAAAAGAAAAATTCAAACCGAGATTAAATTAAACTTTTGTTTTCAATTATCCTATGGAACATGTCAAAAATGTCCTTTGAAAAATAGTATCCGTCGAGATTTTAAATTTTAAATGCATTTTGAAGATTTTTCGTTTAAAACGTATTAATATAAGTAGTATATAATTAATTTCAAAGGATATTTTGGATTAATTAATTTTTTTCGATGTCCTTGGTAAAAATCTTAGCGTCCTATTAAAAATTTAAAGATGTGGATTCACTAGAAATGCGCTAAAATATGGGAAAGATATCGAATTTTTTCGCATTTCTAAAGCTTTCATGCACGATTAATTCAAATTATTAACTAAAACTTCAACTAAAAGCCGGCACGGGTTATCGTTATCCTACGTTCATAAAACTTCATATATAATTAGCAACCCCAGAAGCACCCTGGTAACAAGTTCCAACTCATGACAATGCGTAAATCGTTCGGTATCAACGTTTTAATTTTACTAGTCTCTTTCGAGAGCATATTTTCGGGCACTAGGCCCATTCTAACTGTCCAAGACAGGTATGTAATTAAGGGAATGTTCCCCAATAATATCAGAGTAATTATATGTGAAAAACAAAATTTTAGCTGCATTTTAACATGTCAGGAAAATAAAAAAATTGAGAACATCAGCGTTTTTATAAAAAACCGACCAGCGCGACCTCTAAGAAAACTTTTTATTTCAAAATAAAAAAACACGTTTCTCTTTTTTTTTATCACAAATAACAATAATTTGAGGTAGCGTTTATGAATTTCCAAAAAAAAAAAAAGTTTTGAACCACTCTAGTATGCATATCAAAATTTTTAAAAAAAATTTTTCCATATATTCTTGGTACTGACTGTAAAACGGCCTTTGGAGTCTACAATTTTAAGTGATATATTAGTTATCGATGCCGAGTATAAAACCATATACACTAAGTGTCATTAAAATCAAATAATATTGCTAGATAATTCATTAAATGGCCTTCATCAAACCGCAGACAGACACCACAAGCGGATCAAATTGTATGAAGCCGACTGCAAGTGCTCATCGTTTCATACATATGTATGTATGTATATTGCTTGTTATTTTCATTTGATCAGGGAAAATGTTGGGAACACAATGAAATCAAATTGAAATCGTGAATGTTGTTCGCTCATTCGATCAATTGCGCTAAATTGAAGTTGCACGGTGGAATAAAAATAGTAAATCGTTGCAATCAACATGAAGAGGTGATTGGCAAATAGAAACAGGCACACACCGCAACAAACCTATAATACTGACGGCGTTGGCAGACCTACTTTAATACAAACAAACACACGTACATAATTTTGATCATCACAAAGGGACGGATAGGCGCAGAGCAGATGATGGCAAAAAGTGGATGTGGAAGGTGATTGTGATGTGCTGATCTGCTGAAATAGCATTGCGATGGCGATGGATGCGCGCCCTCACTTTCACATGAATGCACGCCAAAGCCAAGAGACGCTATAATGCGCCGAAACTGCAAGAGCGTAGGGTGGTATGGCTAGTTGCATGCAACAATTGGTTGAAACATGTACGTGAGTATATGTATGTATATACTCATGTACATATATTTACATATGTAGATATATGCAAGTATTGCACATGTTCATATATTTGCTCGCTTATTTAAAGTACACTTACCCCACTGACACAAATCGCAGCACAAAGTAATCCGAAAATAATAAAAAACGTCGAAATTGCAACGGCGTGTAGCTGTAGCAGCGATGTATCCAAATGAAGATGCCGCCGATGTGAATATTTTGTGGAGTTTTGTTCTTTTTGTTGCTTCTGAGTCATCTCTGTTGTTGGTGGTGTTGATTTTGTTTTCATAGCCATCGTGCAGTTAGTGTTTATGCTAATACTGGGCTATGTACTTGTATTTCAACTACGCAAAATGTAGCATGGAGCGTATACGTAATTTGTTTTGAATGCAATTCAGTTATCTACAACGACCAGAACAAGGAAAATGAGAGGAAAAATAAAACACAATTTATCTATGCACGTATTATGTATATGCATACAAATTGCCGAAACGCCGCAATAAATAGCCGGGATTTACTTGTGAACCACGAATAATTTTAAAAAATCTTCAAAGTTTGAATCTATGTGGATAACTGTACATATACTATGTAGTATCTAGGAATACGTAATGGAGGCAATTTATGTACATATATCTTTGCATACAAATTTTGTGAAAAATCGCCCTTATATCTAAATACTTGAGACTTAAAAAGTCGAAGTCATTTTTACAATTTCTTTTGGTCTTAGTCTTAATATGTAGCAATTTTCCTTTTATTTGTGGATTTGTATTAACAAATTTTAATATTGTTTTTTTTTTTTTAATTTTGAATTCAATTTATATTTCTGCTATGTATTAAAAACTTTTTTGTTGGGTTGTCTACTCTGCACATATTTAAATTTAAATTTGAAGTGCACGACAATTTTAAAAATTGTTTTTAAGAACGTTATTACCGGAAACTAAATAATTGTGTAGAATTAAATTATGTTTTTTTCGTATAAGGTGGAATATCTTTGTTCGTTTGGTTTTATCCATTAAAATCTTTCACTATATTGATATTTATTATGTCAACTATTTATTTGCGTAGCCTTTTTGAACATTTATAGTATTTTCTTATTTTACACGAAGAATAATCTCTTCATTTTGTAATGTATTCTAGATACACATATTTTATTATTGGAAACACTTGAATAAATAAACTAAATACATATTTCCCTCATACGCACTTTCCAATTAACACGCCTACACCTGTAATTATCGCGACTGTGCCAAAAGGAAGGAAATGAACGAATGCGCGTTAACACGTGTGACTCTGCCGCTAGTCGAGATGCGAAAGTTAAAAAAATCGCGCAAACAATATTATTTTATACCTCCAATATGTTCAGCATAGTCGCCAAGCGTACAACACCGAGCGATGCGCTGTGAGCGATGAGTGCGCAAAATCCAAAAAGCATCATCATCATCACCGCCAACATCTATTAAGACACAACAGCAACAGCTGAAGCGCAACTAACAAGAATTTAAAAAGCAGAAGTAGCAAAATCAAAATCAAATTCAAACTCGAAAACAGTGAAAAAAGTAAAAGACAAAAACATGCAATTCAAACGCCAAAGACAAACGCGCTTGAAAAAGCAATCGCTGAAATCCGCTTTGGGGCTTTTGATAGATGCGAACACTGCAACATCAGGCAACTACAATTAATAGTGCAAAGCAAACATTAAATACAAAAAACAACTGCATAGCATATTTTAAAATGGCTCAGAATTCGCCAATGCTCTTCTCTCACTGAGGACTCCAAATGATGGTGCTCAACGAATGCATTTGATTCAATATTTGTTGCAAAGCCCTGGTGACCTTATTAAAAATGAGCGCTTCCATTGAAAAAAAAATAATAATGTGCTTTAATGATTTTAAGTGTAACATCACTGCAAATTTTGCAATAAATTTGACAATAACATTTGCCGAAATTAAAAAAAAAATCGTTGAGGTAATTGAATGACTCGCTAAATTGAAAGACTTAAGTAGCGAACTTAATAAATCCCAAATTTTCGCTGATACATATTATTGGCAATAATTGCGAAATATATCTCAAGTATGATGGATTACTAAGTAGTATAACAAATATTTTTTTTATTTCGCAAAACATATTGTGTTTCTTAGAGCCGTTTTCACGTTGCACTATAGCCTAAATGCTCATTTTTCCACATTTTTGTTAAAAAAAAAAGTTATCCCTTGAAGACAGAGAGGTCTAAAAGGGTCATGTTTAACTCGTTGTTTTATTAAAAAGTTTGAATTTAGTTTTTTGAATGAACAAAAAAAATACAAACACAAAAACAGCGATCACACGATTTGCAAATTTGTACAGATTTGTACTTTTCCACAGTAACAGAGTGGTGTTGCTTGGAAATTTTTTATCGAGCTGAACTCATTCTCGACAAAGATTTCTAGACAACACCATCCTGTGACTGCCTAACTGTACAAATCCCTCTTTAGTTATATACCGTGGCAATATTTTCGAAATGTTTTCCTTATTTCAATTTAAAGCCTGAATTTCTTAATTTACCTACAAAAATGTTAGGTTATGTTAATCTGGCCGGCGTTGAGCCGCTCATAGACCGATAGTTCCTTAGCGTTCCAGTTGGAGCTCGTTTTTTTACAAAGGATGCCAACGCCTTTTCGGAATTTCATGTGAGTTTTTAGCTATACTTTTGAGATGTCCTCTAACTTCTCGAATTCGTAAGCTCCTTCCTTGCTTCCATTGGTTTCGCACATAATTTTTGCAGTTTTGCAGGTGGTTAACTAATTCCATTCGATATTAAAAATCATATTAAACAACACTTCTACAACAATTAACGCCTCGAATGGAACTGGTACAAAAACGTAAACTACACAAAGACCCATATCCAGGGCCGTTTGGCACTTTTGAAAAATAGTAATATTTTAATGAATTGTGAAATCCTTAGGGTGTACTTATTAATTCAACTAAAATTTTATAATTTCTATAGTGTATACAACTCGTATATCCTACTTTGGCATTGGACTTTTGTTATACTCGAGCGCACTTGTGCACAGGGTATTATAACTTTGTTCGCATAACGGTTGTTTGTAACAGCCTAAAGGAATCGAGACAGATATAGTCAAATGTATATATAAATGATCGGAATGAAAATTTATATCGATTAAGCCATGTCTGGAGGATGGTTCCGTGCGCAGAAGTGGAAAACTTTTGACTACCATTCACCTGGGAGTGGCCAGAAGCGATTCTTGTGCGTACGGTTCAAATCGCAGCTCACAACGTCCGGATATTTATATCCACGTATCCTCTGGGTAGCAACCAAACACCCGTTTGGGAGCGAGCTAAAGTGAGAAGGCGTAAAACTTCGCGTGCGCTGGGTTTGGGTCCCGCCACGTTAAAACCCCGCCCAATGAAAAGAAGCAAACAGCCTCGGATGAGACCCCCTTTTTCTGATGACGACCACGGCAAACGTATAAAGGACTATGATTTAAGGGTATGCACCTGGAATATCCGGACCCTTAATGGGGAAGGTGCCTCTGCCCGGCTGGTTGATGTCCTCGGGAAGACAAAGGCTGACATCACCGCCATCCAAGAAATGCGATGGACGGGGCAAGGTAAAGTAAGCGTGAAGCCTTGCGACGTCTACTACAGTTGCCACGTAAAGGAGCGCAAATTCGGTGTTGGATTCGTGGTAGGAGAGAGACTCCGTCGCCGAGTACTGGCGTTCACCCCGGTGGACGAACGTCTAGCCACAATCCGCATCAAAGCTAGATTCTTCAACATCTCGCTCATCTGCGCCCATGCCCCGACGGAAGAGAAGGATGAGGCGTCCAAGGATCTCTTCTATGAGCGCTTGGAACGTACATATGAGCGCTGCCCCCGACACCATGTCAAAATCGTGCTTGGCGATTTTAATGCCAAGGTGGGCAAGGAAGGGATCTTTGGCGCCACTGTCGGAAAATTCAGCCTCCACGACGAAACGTCCGATAACGGACTGAGGCTGATCGACTTCGCCGGGGCCCGAAATATGGTAATATGTAGTACTAGGTTCCAGCATAAGAACATCCACCAAGCTACATGGCTGTCTCCAGATCGAAAAACGAGAAACCAAATCGATCATGTTGTGATAGACGGAAGGCATGCTTCAAGCGTTTTGGACATACGTACACTCCGAGGGCCAAACATCGACTCGGACCACTATCTTGTTGTAGCCAAGATACGCACCCGCCTCTGTGCAGCAAAAAATGTGCGCCCAACAATGCAAGGAAAGCTTAACGTCGAAAAGCTGCAATCACAACAGACGGCCAATTTATTCGCCACTCGACTCACACACCTGCTCTCTGAGAGCACTCTTCAACAATCCGACGTACGCGAGCAGTGGAACCACATTTCCCGATCATTAAGTACCGCCGCCGAAGAAGTAGTTGGATTTCAGCGAGCCCGAAAGAACAACTGGTACGATGAGGAATGTCAAGAAGCCGCAGAGAAAAAAGATGCCGCCTACAGGGCCACGCTGCGATCGGGCGCAACGCGAGCCATGTGGGACCGTTATAGGGAACTGAAGAAGGAAGCGAGACGTATTTGCCGCAATAAGAAGAGAGAGGCCGAAATACGTGAGTGCGAAGAGCTTGAGATGCTGGCCGACAGGAAGAACGCCCGAAAATTATACCAGAGGGTTAGGCGACTTACGGAAGGTTTCAAGACCGGGGCGAACTCCTGTAAGAACAACAATGGCGACCTAGTGACCGATGTCCAGAATATACTTAAATTGTGGAGGGAACACTTTTATAACCTACTGAATGGTAGCAGCGCTGAAAGTAGTGAGGAAGACGAACCCGAGTCCCCAGTCGATGATGATGGAGTAGCTGCCCCACCGCCTGACTATGACGAGGTACGAATAGCGATTACGCGGCTGAAAAACAACAAAGCTGCTGGAGCTGACGGCCTGCCAGCCGAGCTATTCAAGTACGGCGGCGAGGAGCTTATGAGGTGCATGCATCAGCTCGTATGCAGAATATGGTCAGATGAACGCATGCCCGGCGACTGGAATTTAAGTGTGCTCTGCCCAATCCACAAGAAAGGCGACCCCGCCATACGCGCCAACTACCGCGGAATTAGCCTTCTAAGCATAGGTTACAAGGTCTTATCGAGCGTATTGTGCGAAAGACTGAAGCCCACCGTCAACGAGCTGATTGGACCTTATCAGTGTGGCTTTAGGCCTGGAAAATCCACCATAGATCAGGTATTCACAATACGCCAAATCTTGGAAAAGACCCGCGAGAATAGGATCGACACACACCATCTATTTGTCGATTTCAAAGCCGCTTTCGACAGCACGAAAAGAAGTTGCCTTTATGCCGCGATGTCTGAATTTGGTATCCCCGCGAAACTAATACGGCTGTGTAAAATGACGTTGAGCAATACCACCAGCTCCGTCAGAATAGGGAAGGACCTCTCCGAGCCGTTTGATACCAAACGAGGTTTCAGACAAGGGGACCCCCTTTCGTGTGATTTCTTTAATCTTATGTTGGAGAAGATAATAAGAGCCGCAGAACTGAACCGCTCAGGCACAATACTTTATAAGAGCGTACAATTGCTGGCGTATGCCGACGACATCGATATCATCGGTAAAAACAAGGGCTACGTCTGTTCTGCCTTCTCGGGATTGGATAGAGAAGCAAAGCGAATGGGTCTGGTGGTGAACGAGAACAAAACGAAGTATCTCCTGTCAGCACACAAACAGTCAGAGCATACGCGTCTTGGCACCCACGTCACTGTTGACAGTTACAAGTTTGAAAAAGTAGACGACTTCGTTTATTTGGGAACCAGCATTAACACCAATAATAATGTCAGCCTTGAAATCCAACGGAGAATCACTCTTGCCAACAAGTGCTACTTTGGGCTGAGTAGGCAATTGAGAAGTAAAGATCAAAGTACAAAGATCACACTCTATAAGTCACTCATCATGCCTGTGCTGGTGTATGGCGCGGAAGCATGGACAATGAAAGCATCTGATGAGGCGGCTCTTGGAGTTTTCGAGAGAAAGATTCTGCGAAAGATTTACGGACCTTTACGCGTTGGTGATGGCGAATATCGCAGACGATTTAACGATGAGCTGTATGAGCTTTACAACGATATAGACATAGTGCAGCGAATTAAAATTCAGCGGCTCCGCTGGCTTGGCCATGTCGTTCGGATGGACAGAAACGCTCCTGCTCTGAAAATATTCAACGCGGGCCGCGATGCTGGTAACAGAGGAAGAGGAAGGCCTCCTCTGCGTTGGAAAGACCAGGTGGAGAAGGACTTGGCTTCACTTGGCATTTTCAATTGGCGTCAGTTAGCACAGAAGAGAAATGACTGGCGTGCTGTTTTGGACTCGGCCAAAATCGCTTAGGCGGTTACAGCGCCAAATAAGAAGAAGAAGAAGCCATGTCTGTCTGTCCGTCCGTCCGTACTCGATATCTCAACGAAATTTGGTATGTAGGTTGCCCTTAAAGGTAGGTTGCTATTGAAAATGCGCGAAATCGGACTATAACCACGCCCCTTCTTGTATAAAGGCATTTTCGCAAAATGCAAAAACTATGA